GGACCTTGTCAATGAAGAATTGGCATTGCCTGATCATTGAGTTATTGTCCTAATCAGAGTTAATCTATCATCTACGTATTTGGGAGCTGATTACATTCTATTAGTGAATGGTGCTTGTACTGATAAAGGGACTGGGAGAAAACCTATTGATGTACACTTGAGAGAGAATAGTAATGAGAATTGTATAATAAATATCCCGCTCTCCATGTTAATTAACTTAGGGGTGATCCAAGATCTAAAATCGAAGCCACATTTTTTTGGTTTGTTTATTTTTAAGAGAAATTTGATTTTTTTTTTCTCCTTCATAAAATGCCTGCTATTTACTGTAACAGAAACCTGATATTCATAACGGATATATCTCAAGAATTTTGAAAATCGCAACATTTATTATTAAATACTCTGTAGCATATAGTTGTTTTTCTCAGGATAGATATAAAGTAAAGCATATCTGGAAAATTCAGATGACGTCTTCATACCATAATGATGTTAAAAATATAGGATATAGGGGCGCCTGGGTGGCACAGTCGGTTAAGTGTCTGCCTTCGGCTCAGGTCATGATCCTAGGGTCCTGGGATGGAGTCCTGCATCCAGCTCCCTGCTTGACAGGGAGCCTGCTTCTTCCTCTTTCCCTGCTCATGCTTGCTCTCTCTCTCTCTCTCTCGCTGTCTCTCTCTCAAATAAATAAAACTTTAAAAAAATAGGATATAATTCATTCGTAATACTATGAAAATAAATGAAATAAAATTAAATCAGCCATTGTAATACTAACAGCCAACCAACATTTTTAACTGAGTTGAATCTATAAAACCACTTTTTAATTTTATCTAACACTTCTGTTTTAACTAAGAATAGTCTTTAAATGTTATTGTTTACTTTTACTTTCATTAATAATGCTAGTAGTTGGCTTTCTTTTCCTTATTGAAATCCATAACTGACATACAATGTTATATATAGTTTCAGGTGTACAACATATTGATTCCACAATTCTATATGTTATGCAATGCTTACCACCATAAGCGTAGTCACCATCTGTCACCATGTAACATTATTACAATAGTTATTTTTTAGGTATTTCTTTTTTAGGTATTTCTTTAGGTATTTTTACAAGGCAATAATCTTCATTTCTTCAGAAGAAGTACCGTGTCATCTAGAATTTATGGAGAACAGAATCTTTTTGCATTGTGATGTTGGTCAGTTGGTTAGGTTCATTCACAACTTATATGATGTTTCCTTGCATATTAACATCACAGATTTGTATACATGATTCAAATTTGTGCTTCAGAAAAATTACAAAGTTTACATGTCTGGACCTTCAGAGTTGTTTAAATCATAACAATTACTTACGTTTTTGGTGCTAAAGCTGTATGTCAGTGGTCTATGTTATTATAAAGCGATAATGAAACTGTGTTAAGGCTGTTACAGAACTGTATCAATCTTAGATGTAAACTTAATAACTCCTGTGATGACATTTTGGGTCATTTATCTTTTTCTTTTTTAAGATTTTATTTATTTATTTGACAGAGAGACAGCAAGAGCAGGAACACAAGCAGGGGCAGAGGGAGAGGGAGAAGCAGGCTTCCCGCAGAGCAGGGAGCACGATGTGGGTCTCCATCCCAGGACCCTGGGATGACCTGAGCCAAAGGCAGACGCTTAACGACTGAGCCACCCAGGCGCCCCTAGGTCATTTATCTTTTACTACTGAAGTACTAATATATCTTTTGAAAATAAATGCTGTGGCTTTGTGATGGAGTTACTTATACAGTTTGGGTCTTCAGCTGTTCTATACTATTAAATAGAGATGAAAATTAGACATTTCCAATTAGTCAAGGAATTACATTAATATTTATTTCCTCCCCTCAGGTCAAAGAATTTTTGAGCACTTTGTGATTTTGCTGAAGACTACAGGCAACCACATGATTCCAGCTTTGTGTATCTTCGTAGCTCAATATTGATACAAGTCTCTAGAAAACCCAGGTTTTTTACCATTTTTGTTCCAAGAAAAAAATTGTTTTGATGAATTCTATGTAAAAGTTCATGAGCAGTTTCTTTTCTTTTATGCTTTAAAAAAAAATAAGACATCTAATTATCTCTCACAACATCTAGAGGTAGATGGTTCCAGAGTAAGTACTGGCTAAATTACATCGTAAAGGACCCAGCCTCCATCTGTTTTCCCCTCTATTACTCTCCTCAGCAGGTTGTCTGCCCATCCCCCCCTTGCTTCTTATTTCACTGGTGACCAGTTTCTTAACTGGGAACTTTAATATTACATGTAAATGATAATGTGACTTATGTAAATTAGTGTACCTATTATAAGCTGAAAAGCAGGATTTAAGGAATCCCTAAAAAAGGATTATGAAGTTTTATTTTAAATACTTTTGATCAAGTGTCTCCCCTTCCATCTTAATTTATGTGGAAGATAAGACCAGTTTAGTGTTTAATTACTTCATTGATATTTATGAATGTGTCTATAACTCATTAATAAAGGAGCAGGTCAGACTTTGTTCCCATTTTGTAATGGCATAACTTATCAGTATTTAATCTTTTTTTCCTGCTCTTGTTTCCACATTTGTGGTATGGGTGAGACTGCATCTTTCTGCATGGGATTTTAGAGGATTAAAGATGAAATGATAACTTAAAATGTTACTGTACTTAAAAGATAAATGAGTTTAAAGTTTCAATTTATATGGAGCTTAGAATAGCTACCTACTTTCTCTCAGACCATTCTTTTAGAATGGAATATTACTCTTATAGTTAAAAGATGGTTTAAATTATGATTGTCTTTAACTCATTTGAGGTGAAATTATAGTTTTCCCTAAATTTCTTCCCATTTTTATCAGTAAAAATTTAGTGGAACAGAACAAGGGATAAGTTTTTCTGTTTTATTTTTTGTTGACCCTGTGCTGGGAATGAGTAGTTTTTCTTTCCCTTTATACTTGGTCAGAAGTCAAAACAGAAACTGAAGACAAGATCGATTATCTTCTTAGCAGTGCAGTCTCTTTTATCCCAGCTCTTACTTCCTGCCCTTACTTTCTTACTCTCTGGATTAATTAGGCAGCCTGCTATTTTATTCTTTTTTTTTTTTAGTTTTTATTTATTTATTTTTTTAGTAATCTCTATACTCAACATGGGTCTCCAACTCACAACACCAAGATCAAGAGTGCATGCCCTTCTGACTGAGCCAGCCAGGCACCCTGGCAGCCTGCTGTTTTAAAGTTTAAATGAAAGTCACACATTTCTGCTTTGAGAGCATCATGATCACTCGTCACTTCACAGTTTGCTTTGCTTCTCTGTAGGGTTATACCTTAGGGTTTTTTCCTCCTCCTCTAAATTACTGATAAAAATCATCTTGTTTTATATGTTCTGTATCTTGAAAGCATTATCATTTTTGTTAAGTATATATAAGGAAATATAATAGTAAAGAAGACAAGGAGGTAGAATAGTTGTAATTTTTTAAAAATCTGCATGGATTCATTTTAGGTCTGTAGATAAAGTTTTTTTTTTCAAGTTTGTTTAGTTAAGGTGTGTAGTGTTTTTTCTATGTATTTAACCTTTCTACTTGACATTTTGGAAAAATTCTGTTTTTGGAAAATGAGGGGAAGAGTCACTTTGACTATGAAACTCGTTTTCCTTTTTAAAATGTCATTTTTTGTTTTGGTTTTTTGATAATCAAGGATGATAATTTTGTAGGTTAAACATTCGGATGCACTGATCTTTTGAAAGGGAGACTTTGTCTCAAGTTCTACACTCACCATGAATATTATTGAAACTATCTCATGATATTGTATGGGGTTTTTTTGTTTGTGTTTGATACAAATGAATTTACTTACTAAATATTAACTTCATAAATAAGTATAAATCTCATGAACTGTGATAGAGCTATACTCATTGAAATGATTATCTTTAAAATTAAAATTCTACTTTTGAAGAAAAAAATTATGAATATAAAAAGGTGACAGTGGTTTAAATAACATTGATTCTGTTTTAAGTGAAGACATAATTTAGAGATTTTTAGTAACCTCTAGAAATGTTTAACTTAATGCCTTTTTTAAATCTGTAGAATTGAATAAAAGCTTAAAAAATTTGTTTGTTATGACTCAAAAGATGTACCATTGGGTGGGTCAAGAGTATTGAGCCTAGTGGTCTGAATTATCTCTTTGGATCCTATTTCCCATATTCGATCATCTTACATCAGACTATATGTACTAATTTTTATAGTTGACTCTTTTAAGAAGGTAATTTTAATTGTGCATTCCCTCATCAGAATATTTTCATCTTCTATGTCTGAAACTTTGAGCACTGTATACTGAACCGCCTAGAAATTAGGTCTGTCATATTTTAAAGGACACAGAGTCCCAAAGTATTTTTTATAGAGAGATGTAAATTTTATTACCTCCAGAAATGCTAAACCAGATTACAGACCTTATTTGGATTTTATCAGTCTCTCTCTCTCTCTTTTTTAACTTTTTAAAATAGACTTTATTTTTTAGAGCAGTTTTAGGTTCACAGCAAAATTAAGTAGGAAGTACAGTTCCCATATACTCTTTTCTCCCATATTTGTACAGCCTTTTCCACTATCAACATCCCCCACCAGAGTGGTACACTTGTTTTAATCAATGAACCTACATCGACACATTATCACTCAAAGTCCATAGTTTACATTAAGGTTTATTCAGTGTTGTGCATTTGTGGGTTTTGACAAATGAATAATCACATATATCCACCACTGTAGTATCATACAAAATAGTTTTATGGCCCCCCAAATCCTCTGTGCTCTGTTCATCACCCCCACCCAACCTCTGGCTACCACTAATCTTTTTATTGTCTGCATAGTTTTGCCTTTTCCAGAAAGTCATTTAGTTGGAAGCATTCAGTATGTAGCCTTTTCAAATTGGCTTCCACTTAGTAATTTGCATTTAGTTTCTTCCATGGCTTCTTTTCATGGCTTGATAGCTTGTTCTTTTTTTTTAAGCACTGAATAATCCTTTGTCTCCATGTACCATCGTTATCCACTCCCCTGCTGAAGGACATCTTGGTTGCTTCCAAGTTTTGGCAGTTATGAATAAAGCTGCTATAAACATCTGTGTGTGGATTTTTGTGTGGACAAAAGTTTTGAGGTCACTTGGGTGAATATCAAGGAGTGCAATTGCTGGATTGTATGGTAAGAGTGTATTTAGGTTTTTAAGAAACTTCGTAACTGTCTCCCAGAATGGTTGTATCATTTTGCTATCTTACTCGTAATGAATGTGAGTCCCTGTTGCCTCACAACCTTGTCAGTACTTGGTGTTATCAGTGGTTTGGATTTTGGCCATGCTAATAGGTATATGGTTGTATCTCGTTTTAATTTGCAGTTTCCTAATGACATTATATTAACCATCTTTTCATATGTTTATTTGCCATCTGTATATCTTTGCTGAGGTGTCTTTTAAGATCTTTTGCCCAGGGGCGCCTGGGTGGCTCAGTTGGTTAAGCGACTGCCTTCGGCTCAGGTCATGCTGGAGTCCTGGGATCGAGTCCCACATCGGGCTTCCCTGCTCGGCAGGGGGTCTGCTTCTCCCTCTGACCCTCTTCCCTCTCATGCTCTCTATCTCTCATTCTCTCTCTCTCAAATAAATAAATAAAATCTTAAAAAAAAAAAAAGATCTTTTGCCCATTTTTAATTGGGTTCATTTTCTTATTGAGTTTTAAGAGTTCTTTGTAGACTTTAGATAACAGTCCTTTATCAGATGTGTCATTTGCAAATACTTTCTCCCAGTCCGTGGTTTATCTTACCCTCTTGACATTGTTTTTCACAGAGCAGAAATTTTTAATTTTAATGAAGTCCAGCTTATTAATTATTTCTCTTATGGATTATATCTTATGTTGCTTTTTTGTTGTTGTTGTTGTTGTTGTTTTGTCCTATAACTTGTGTTGTTTCTAAAAAATCATTGCCATACCCAAGGTCATCTAGGGTTTCTCCTGTGTTATCTTCTAGGACTTTTAGAACTATGCATTTTACATTTAGGTCTATGATCCATTTTGAGTTAATTATGTGAAGGGTGTAGGGTCAACGTCTGGATTCCTTTTTTTGTTTGTGGATGTCTGGTTGTTCCAGCACCATTTGTTGGAAAGATAATCGCTTCACTGTCCTGCCTTTGCTCCTTTATTGAAGATCACTTGACTATGTATACATTGATCTCTTTGTCTGTTCTTTTGCCATACTGTCTTGATTAGCTTTATATTAAGTCTTGAAGATGGATAATTTTGTGTTTCCTAGAGGCCTGAGCTACTTAGGTTTAGTAATACTTTGGAGGCTTTTTGAGGCTATCCTAATAAGGTTTTGGTTTTTTTTTTAAGTATTTATTTGTATGATGAATTTTTTTCTCATCTTCAGTTAGCTGAATTAATTTTTTTCCTTATCCTATATAGTTCCTTACAATGTTGTCATTAATTATAAAGTATATTAGTCCTGAGATTAGTAATGCCAAATCCAGTCTTCCCCCATGAGAACTGTTCAATTAATAACTTTTTGCCATAATATATCTTGGAAAGTTATATCACTTTACAGACAATCACCCTTTTTGCTCTTTGGGTACAGACTTTCTCTACACCAAAATACACTAAACAAGTATGCAGTAAAAATCAATATTTAAGCCATTACCATCTCAGACAAAAACCATACTAATTTACTTAACACTTTCTATACCGAGGTTGTCATTTTGAAAATGTGAATTATGCATCAGGTTATTTTGCTTTGCATAAGTATGTCAAATGAGAGGAATGAAGAGGTTGCATCTTCTAGGACTCTAGTCTGTTATGTGCAGATGGCATTTCCATGTGTTTTGAAGTTCCCTAAAGGGTTGTTGTTGTTGTGTTATAAGTTAATTTTAAGTGCAGTTTGAATCATTAGTCCCCAAAAGGGTGGAAAATTGGTGGGAAGACATGTTACAGAAAGCAGAATTTATCTTCCAAAGAATGATTTCTTTATTCTTCTCCTCCACTAACCACCATCCACTATCAAGTTTTCCACCTTGGCAAGTATAATAAACCTTTTTTACAATATATTTTACATATAATCCATATTGTTTATTGC